AGTCTCCAAACAATGACTTCCTCTCATCACTAAAGTTAGACTCAGCAATGATTGCTCTCAGTTATCACTGCTTATCACTGAGCCCCAGACTACTAACAAAAAGACAAACAGGATTGCCCGGACCAGCTGGCCGCTTGCTGCTGTGGCTACACCGTCTCGCCCACTCATGTTACTACTGCTGCCATCCACAGAGGGCTGCTTCTTGGGGACAAGACTCCCAACTTTGAGGCACTGTTGGCTGATACAGCACTGTTGGCTGTATCTGTTCCCACGACCTTCTAGGAGACTCCTGTGGCATTCTTTTTTCCCACCCTCAGGACTCTACACCAGTTTACACCATGGAGCTTGGCAGAGCTGCAAAGCTGGCACCCGAATTCACCAAGAGCAATGTCAAGTTGATTGCCCTTGTAACAGACAGTACTGAGGAACATCTTGCCTGGAGCAAGGATATCAATGCTTACAACAGTGATGAGCCAACAGAAAAATGCCCTTTTCCCATCATTGATGGTAAGGATCAGGAAGGACCTTGACATCTTGTTAGGCATGCTGGATCCTTCCGAGATGGAAGAAAAGGAATGGGTGTGAGAGCTTGTGGTGTTTATTTTTGCTCCTGATAAGAAACTGAAGCTGTCTACCCAGCTACCACTAGCAGCAACCTGGATGAGATTCGCGGGGTAGTTCTCTCTCTCCAGCTGACAGCAGAAGAGAGGGTTTCCACCCTGATGGATAAGAAGAATGGAAATAGTTATGTTGCTGGGCATGGTGGCTCATGGCTGTAATCCCAGCACTTTGGGAGGCCAAGGTGAGTGGATCACTTGAGGTCAGGAGTTCCGAGACCAGCCTGGCCAACATGGTGAAACTCTATCTCTACTAAAAATCCAAAAAAAATTTAGCCAGGTGTGGTGGCACAAACCTGTGGTCCCAGTGACTCAGAACGCTAGGGCAGGAGAATTGCTCAAACCCAGGAGGTGGAGGTTGCAGTGAGTCGAGATTGCGTCACTGCACTCCTGGGCAACAGAGCGAGACTCTGTCACAAAAAGGAAAAAAAAAAAAAAGTTACAGAAATATAAACCTTGATCAGAGCCATTACACCTGTCTGGTACTGATCTGGAAATCATGAACATCCAGGTATTTACCTGACAACCAAAGAAAAACATTTACTATAATTTCCTGAATTATTTAATCTTAATAAAATAGATTACTGTTTTTCACCAAGGCTCATTTTTACTTGGGAAATAGAAGTGCAATTAAAACTTGACTTTTCTATAGGCATTTCCTCCTTGGAATTTTGAAAATAACTTTCTTGATTTTGAGAACCAAGCTCAAGCACTCACTGGGAACATGATACACAGGGGGTCTTAATGTTCTTTGAACTTTCTTTCTTTCCTTTTCTCTCTCTCTCTCTCTCTCTCTCTCTCTTTCTTTCTAGATGGAGCCTCACTCTGTCGCCAGGCTGGAGTGCAGTGGTGTGATCTTGGTTCACTGCAACCTCCGCTTCCCAGGTTCAAGCAATTCTCCTGCCTCAGCCTCCTGACTAGCTGGGACTACAGGTACGTGCCACCACACCTGGCTTATTTTTGTATTTTTAGTAGAGATGGGGTTTCACCATGTTGGCCAGGATGGTCTCGATCTCCTGATTTCGTGATCCACCCGCCTCGGCATCCCAAAGTGCTGGGATTACAGGCGTGATCCACTTCGCCCGGTCTTGTTCTCTGAACTTTTGTTCAAACTCCTCTATCCCTCAAAAATGAAAAAAGGGCTGAACGCACTCCTGCCTGTAGCACTTTGGGAGGCTGAGGCAGGCGGATCAGCTGAGGTCAGGAGTTCAAGACCAGCCTGGCCAACATGGTGAAACCTCATCTCTATTTTAAAATTTAAAAAGATGGCCAGACATGGTGACTCACACCTGTAATCCCAGCACTTTGAGAGGCTGAGGCAGGTGGATCACTTGAGGTTAGGAGTTCAAGACCAGCCTGGGCAACATGGTGAAACCCTGTCTCTACTAAAAATACAAAACTTAGCTGGGTGTGGTGGCACATGCCTGTAATCCCAGCTACTTGGGAGGCTGAGGCAAAAGAATCACTTGAACCTGGGAGGCAGAGGCTGCAGTCAGCCGAGATCGTGCCACTGTACTCCAGTCTGGGCAACAGAGTGAGACCCTGTCTCAAAAAAAAAGGAAAACAAAAGAAAGAAAAAAGTCACAATGCCAAGTGATCAAGAGTTTACCTGCACTCTCTAAATATTGGTATCTGGTGGATGCTTCAGGTACCCCCAAGAGCTTTGCTTGTTCTGACTGGTAGCTATACAGCATTTGACAAACCCTGGACACAGGTGTTTGTCTTCTCCTGTCATCATGTATGTCAGGCAGCAGTGGTTATTGCATTTCAGAGGAGTAGCACACCCCAGGATGACTCTTGTCGTCCTCTGATTTTGGGAAATCAGACATTTGGTTTGAGTCCTTGACATTCATGGACATAAGCAAAATTATAAAGGTTGTCAGAAACACCTAGGTTCAAATCACAGCTCCATTGCTTACTACTCATATAACCTTAGATGTGTTATTGAACCTCTCTGAGCCTCCATTTTTCTAATCTGGAAGATCAAGATAATACTCACCCCACAAAGTTATCATGGAACTTACAAAATAAATAGAAAACAGAACATGGGCACTGTGACTGATGCAGAGTAATACATGATTCTGGCCACTACTCCATCTGCTCCTAAGATCCTAGCTGATTTTAGTGGTATGGACAATTGGAAACAGACTGCCTGGGTTCAAATCCTGGCTCTGCAAGTATAGATGAGTGGCTTTTCTCAGCATAGAATGGGTATAATAACAGCAACTTGCCTCAACAGGTTGCTGTGAAGATGAAATGAAGTACTACACATAAAGTCTTTATGACAGTGCCTGGCATACAGTAAGTGTTACAAAAGCATTTGCTTCTATTTTTATTAGATCAAAGGTTAAGTCTGAGAAGAGCGTGTCTCATTATTTAGATTGTGCAGTGGAGCATGCTATGACTATTGGCATCTCTCCCTTCACTAGTCAAACCTTCCCAAATACCCACTTCCGCCACTCAGTCAGTAACTCAATAATGCATTTTTATGAGTCATAGAGTTTCAGGTTTCCTTAGCGCTTGAATTACATTATGGTAAGATATGAAGTCACTGCAGGTTCCGGTATGGGGCAAGGTGGTATCATAAATAACAATGGATTTCTTTTCCCTCCTTCCCTCCCTTCTTTCGGAGATGGAGTCTCACTCAGTCACCCAGGCTGGAGTGCAGTGGAGTGATCTCGGTTCACTGTAACCTCCACCACCTGGGTTCAAGTGATTCTCCTGCCTCAGCCTCCCAAGTAGCTGGGATTACAGGCACATGCCACCATGTCCGGCTAATTTTTTTGTATTTTTAGTAGAGATGGGGTTTCACCATGTTGGCCAGGCTGGTCTCAAACTCCTGACCTCAGGTAATCCACCCGCCTTGGTCTCCCAAAGTGCTTGACTACAGGTGTGAGCTACTGCACCCAGCTCATAACAACGGATTTAAAGCAAAAGACTTCAATTTGCATCCTGGCTGTGTCAACTATGTATCCGTAAGACAGCAACTCCATTTATCTGTAATTTAGTTTCCTAACTTTTAATAGGAGATTACACCTACCTCATAGATTTGTTAGAACCTTTAAGTGACACATACAAATTTCCTAATAACCTATAAAGCACTAGTTGTTCTTAAAAACAATCTGAGGCCGGGCGTGGTGGCTCAAGCCTGTAATCCCAGCACTTTGGGAGGCCGAGACGGGTGGATCACAAGGTCAGGAGATCGAGACCATCCTGGCTAACATGATGAAACCCCGTCTCTACCAAAAAAATACAAAAAACTAGCCAGGCGAGGTGGCGGGCGCCTGTAGTCTCAGCTACTCGGGAGGCTGAGGCAGGAGAATGATGTCCACCCGGGAGGCGGAGCTTGCAGTGAGCTGAGATCCGACCACTGCACTCCAGCCTGGGCGACAGAGCGAGACTCTGTCTCAAAAAAAACAACAACCACCATCTGAAATAGTCACTTAAAAAAATGATCAGCAAAGCACTTTCACCATTGTTATTCTGTTCAGAAGAACATTTTAATCTCTGTGCTTCTAGCATACTATTGCCTCAGCTCTCAGCCACTTCCTTGCATGATAAATCAAGAGTAAAACTGCACGGTATTGGGAAAGAAGAAAAAGAAGAAACAAAAAGTCAGTAGTTAGCTTAAATGCAAAAAGTGCTGGCAATATCTGACCCTGTTATACTGACAAATATCTATTTTTATATATTCTTAAAATAGGCCAGGCACAGTGACTCACACCTGTAATCTCAGCACTTTGGGAGGCCAAGGCGGGAAGACTGCATGAGCTCAGGAGTTCAAGATCAGCCTGGGGAACATACGGAGACCACATCTCTACAAAAAAAAAATTTTTTTTTTTTTTGAGACAGAATCTCTCTCTGTCATGTAGGCTGGAGTGCAGTGGTGGGATCTTGGCTCACTGCAACCTCTGCCTCCTGGGTTCAAGCAATTCTCCTGCCTTAGCCTCCTGAGTAGCTGGAACTACAGGTGCCTGTCACCGTACCTGGCTAATTTTTGTATTTTTAGTAGAGATGGGGTTAAATCATGTTGGATAGGCTGGTCTCAAACTCCTGACCTCAAGTGATCCGCTCAGCTCGGCATCCCAAAGTGCTGGTACTACAGGCGTGAGTCACCGCACCAGGCACACATAAAAATGTTTTTTAAGTTAGCTGGGTATGGTAGTGCATGCCTGTGGTCCCAGCTACTCAAGAGGCTGAGGTGGGAGAACTGCTTGGGCCATGGAGGTGGAGGCTGCAGTGAGCCGTGATTGTGCCACTGCACTCTAGCCTGGGTGGCAGAGTGAGATGTTGTATCAAAAAAAAGCCAAAAACCAAAATTTTCCTGACATTCCCTAGCAAGCAGACTCAGAATGAGGGAAAAAAAGAGAAGAAAAAACTTACCTGGCTGAGAGAATGAAGGAACGTTCTACACTTTCAATCTTTAATTCATTCTGATAGGCTTCTTGGGTAGGTTTTCTGACCTGGAAGAAAGCACAACAATTTGAGCTGACTCATCCTACTGAAAACTGTATTAATGAGCTGAAGTCCAATGGCCCTGGCTCTGACATCCACGACAAACCTTCCTATCCAGCTTTCTCTACTGCTATTCTCCTTCATCTACTCTATGCTCCAGACGAATTGAAAAGCCCACATGCTGGCCCACCTTTCCCACCTCCAGGACTTTGCTCACAATATGCCCTCCACCTGGAATGCCTTTCCCCTACATCTCAGCATGGCCAAATGTGACCTATACTTTAAGGTCCACTGGCTCTTCCTCTTTTCTCCTTCTTTCCTAGTTGCTCTCAAAAGCTGCAGGCCAGTCCCCACCGTGATCATCAAACACTGCAAGTTATTTGTTTTCTTAACTCCCAAAACTGTAATTGTGCCTTTATAGTGATACTCATTACTGTCTACTTTATAGGTATTTATGTGTAGTGTACTATCTTCCCAACTAGTTGCTAAGTCCCTGGGGGAGGAAAGACAGTAAGAATCATGCTTCAACTTATCTTCGTATTTTCCACCAAACCTATTGTTTTGTTTATAGTAGTTCTCAAAAAATATCTTATGAATAAATTAACACATGAATGAACAAATGACTACATGAATGAATAATCAAAAGCATGAACAGGCAGGGTGCACTGGCTCACGCCTGTAATCTCAGCACTTTGGGAGGCGAAGGTGGGTGGATCACTTGAAGTCACGAGTTTGAGACCAGCCTGGCCGACATAGTGAAACCCCAATTAGCTGAGCCTGTAGTCCCAGCTACTCAAGAGGCTGAGTCAGGAGAATCTCTCAAACCCAGGAGGCAGAGGTTGCAGTGAGCTGAGATCGCACCCCTGCACTCTAGCCTGGGCAACAGAGTGAGACTCTGTCACAAAAAAACAAAACAAAACAAAAAAACCCAAATGCATAAACAGTAACATATATAGAGAGAAAAGTAAAGGATGTAAGAAAGATGTTTATCTTAGGGAATTTTCTCTAAGTATATCACATATTTGTTGTTATTATTTTTAATAGAGATGGGAGTTTCACTACATTGCCTAGGCTGGTCTCTTAACTCTTGAGCTCAAGCTATCATCATCCTCTCTTGGCCTCCCAAAGTGCTGGGACTACAGGTGTGAGCCACTGTGCCCAGCCTTTATTTGGGTTTCTTTTTTTTTTTTTTTTTTTTTTTTTTGAGATAGAGTCTCACTCTGTTGCTCTGGCTGGAGTGCAGCTGCACGATCTCAGCTCACTGAAACCTCTGCCTCCCAGGTTCAAGCAATTCTCCTGCCTCAGCCTCCTGAGTAGCTGGGATTATAGGCATGCGCCACCATGCCTGGCTAATTTTTTTTCCTTCTGTATTTTTAGTAGAGATGGAGTTTCACCACGTTGGTCAGGCTGATCTCGAACTCCTGACCTTATAATCCACCAGCCTCAGCCTTCCAAAGTGCTAGGATTACAGGCACGAGCCACCACACCCGACTTTATTTGGGTTTAAAAACAAATCACCTGGGTGGGCATGGTGGCTCACGTCTATGTAATCCCAGCATTTTGGGAGGCCAAGGCGGGCTGATCACTTGAGGTCAGGAGTTCAAGACCAGCCTGGCCAACATGGTGAAACCTGTCTCTACTGAAAATACAAAAACTAGCCAGGTGTGGTGGTGGGCACCCTGTAGTCCCAGTTAGTTAGGAGACTGAGGCAGAAGAATCACTTGAACCCAGGAGGTGGAGGTTGCAGTGAGCCAAAATTGCACCACTGCACTCCAGCCTGGGTGATAGAATGAGACCCCGTCTCAGACAAAACAAAACAACAAAACAAAACAAATCATCTAACAGATGCACAGACCTTCATTCCAGCCAATGAGAGCATGTTGTTCAGTTTATACATCCCAGACTGCACTGGTGTTGTATACAGCAGGGCATCATTAAACTGAAAAGTAGAAACATTTCACGGGACAAAGTAAAGATACACATTTCCGCTACAAAGATTTGGACAAGATACAAGATTAAAGGATAAATAATACCTTAAAGGATAAATAATACCTCTTTGCTAATAGCTCTCTGAATAAAATACTTATATTCTGCTATATACACTAGAACTACCTAGAATGTTTTATTAGAATATAATTTAAAAGGTAATTTCTGGAAAACATGCTTTATTTCCAAGTTCTGTAACAGATTTAATGTTTTTTGAATTCCAAATCCCACGAAGGTATTACAGTCTGCCTAAATAAATGATTAGAACAATTTTCCAAGTTAGAAATGGAATAAATTCCAAAAGGAAATAATCTTCTGGTTATGCATCATAGCAGACTTTATTTCCCATACTTGAAATTCAATTAAGCAGTACGGCCAGTTAAAGAAGCCACCAAGGCTGATATGTGAAGGTGCTAAGCTTATCTACCATGTATAAACGTCTCCTTTCCTTAAGCAACTATCCCTACCTCGGCCAAATCAGAGCTACACAAGTCCTCTTACCAGGAAAAACATTCGAGGTTGCATCACTTTCCGAGACAGCTTCATCAGAATTCCTTCTTTGAGAAAAACCTGATTCATACAAACACCCATTTAGTCCTACCATCACAATACAATGACAATATAATCTCCTTTTCAACTTTCTTTCCCGAGAATGTTTTTCATGACAGACTGCGGAGCCACAGTTCCCTTGAGATTTTTTATAGTCATAGTTAATTTTAAACCCTTAAATCATTTAGGAATCGGACAAGCAGCAGGGTTGGATAAATCCAATATTGGCCCCAGGGATACTGCATGGAGGGACATGTAATTGACTGAGCGTGTACTTGATCCTGAAGCATATCCAACATCCTGATAACTGCATCTTGTAACTTTCCTGAATTCATTCCCTAGGCCACTTTTGTGCTATCCGAGGAGGATCAAAATACCAATTTCCTCCCTCCCTTCATTATCATCTCTTACATTAAAGATTTTAAATGAAATTGTCTTCAAAACTGTGTGAGGTTGCTGGCATTACACAATAAAACGATCCCATTAAATCAGATACTCTGTGGGGTCCCTTGCCGCTCCCCTAATTGAATTGGACTTACTTCATGAATGGGCTTATTCCTAATTCAGTTGTCACAGTGACTTACATCATGAATGTTTTGAACGGATAAAGTGATCAAGACTGAGAAGAGTAACAAAAACAACCTATTTTTATAACAGAAATGATAAACAGATACAGATGGTACCTAAATGCATCATATTAAGTTTGCAAAAAGCAATCTAAAACGCTTACCCGACCAGGCTGCACAATTTCATGATGTCCATTTAAGCTGTACTGAATTTGCATAAGTTTCTGAAAGTTGTCCTACAGAAAGACAATGGAAAGCATATGAAGGCCTGGGCTTTCAGGTTCAAGACCACACCAGTCACTGATAACAAGACACTTACTCCTTGCTTCATGGTGTCATTGGCGTGGTTGGCTACCTCTATAACAACAGCAAGGGCATCTGAAAGAGGCAGGAACAAAAGGTGCATTTAGTAATTACAATGGAAACAAACAGTTTGCAACATTAAGCAATTCCTGGGGACAAGATAGCTAGTTTATAGCAACCAACCTCTGGAGGAGCTTAGTTGACTGTGAGTAGGCAGTCAACTAAGGTTCAATGAAGGCAAAACCAAACCAAACCAAACAGCACCACCACCACCAAAAACCTGGTCAAAACAATATATAGGGAAATAATGAGCTAAAAGAAGACTCTAAAGAGACACTGTAGACCATGTTTATTAACAGTATGAATGTCAGGGTTGTTTTATGCTGTGATTTGATTATCCTATTCAAGTTTACAAGGATAAGGATGGGATTTCACCTGGAAGATAAGGACCATCAAAGTATAAACTATCTGGGAGAAAAGGATGGTGAGGGAAAAGGATATTGATATAGGAAATGAAAATTATGAGAAATGACTAAGATCAGATCTCAGTCTCTTAATCTGATTCCAAGAGGCATGAATTAGAAATGGGGGAAATGCCACATGGAAGCATCCTAGATCTTAGGAATTTGCAAGCGTCATTTTGTGAGCTGGGTTATTAGCTTCATGGGCCGATCTGTGTTTTATTCTTTTTATTAACCCTTTGCCTTTAGCAAAGTGTTTTTCCATACTCCAGCCTTGTTATCTTTGTAACTAGGTCTAAAGGAAAAAGTTTGCATTTTGTCAGGTTTGGGGCTGCAGTTATTCTCAACTCAAGGCCATAGTGCTCCCTTAGGGACACATAAACATGTGTAAAGACAATTTTTGGTTGTCACAATGACCAGGAAGATCCACTGGTCTTCAGTGGGTAGGAGGCAGGGATGCCAAACTCCACGCACTACTCATTAGAAACCCACACAAAGATTATTCAGTACAATACGACAGTAGCATTCCCACTGAGGAAAACTGGTAGAGTGTTAGAAAGGGAAGCATCTCCTCCTGAGGCTGCTGTGGCAGTGACAGTGGTCATCAGCAAAAGGACTATTAAATAAAAGACTGGCTGGGTGTGGTGGCTCACGCCTGTAATCCTAACACTTTGGAAGGCTAAGGTGGGCGGATCATTTGAGCTCAGGAGTTCGAGACCAGCCTCAGCAATAAGGTAAAACCTTGTTTCCACAAAAAATCCAAAAATTATCCAGGCGTCGTGGCTCATGTCTGCAGTCCCAGCAATTTGGGGCGCTGAGATGGGAGACTCATTTGAGCCCAAGAGGTCAAGGTTGCAGTGAGCCCAGATCACACCACGGCACCCCAGCCGAGGTGACAAAATGAGGCCCTTTCTCAAAAAAAAAAAAATTAAAAACAACAACAACAAATCAATTTCTGAAAAGGGGTTGAGGTGTTTTGGTCTAGTTATTGTAATCTATCAAAGGACAGTCTTCCTGGAGGTTTCTGTATTCTTTCAACATGTATCATCATCACTATTATTAAAAGCAAGCAGGTTTTCCTTACAGAGAGACCCCGACTATATATCAGATTTTTTTTTTTTTTTTTTGAGACAGAGTCTTGCTCTGTCTCCCAGGCTGAAGTGCAGTGGCATGACCTCGGCTCACTGCAACCTCCACCTCTCAGATTCAAGCAATTCTCCTGCCTCAGTCTCCTGGGTAACTGGGATGACAGGCGCACACCAGTATGCTCAGCTAATTTTTGTATTTTTAGTAGAGACAGGGTTTTGCCACGTTGGCAGGGCTGGTCTCAAACTCCTGACCTCAGTGATCCACCCGCCTCAGCCTCCCAAAGTGCTAGGATTACAGGTGTGAGCCACGGTGCTCAGCCATATATCAGAATTTACGGCACCTGGTACCCTCTTCACAGCAGGTATTCAAGAGGTTACCTTAGACACATTTCCTGCTTTCTGGCCTGCTGGAATTCCCAGTGGACAAGGGAGAGATGCCTTAAGATTTAATGGATGACAAGGCTGCTGCTGCTACTTGGTCACCTAGTCTCCCAAGCTCTACCTTCCCCACTCCATTCTGTGATTCTACTTTCCCCATGTCAGCCCTGATGCCTCTATTCCTTTAACTCTTCTCCCTACCTTTCAAAGTTATACTTGCCTCACCTTCCTTCACCCTTGGAGTCTCATCCACACTGCTCACCACTCTTTTTTTCTTGAGACAGAGTCTTGCTCTGTCGCCCAGGCTAGAGTGCAGTTGTGGGATCTTGGCTCACTGCAACCTCCATCTCCCAGGTTCAAGTGATTCTCATGCCTCAGCTACTGAGGAGCTGGGATTACAGGCATGCACCACCACGCCCCACTAATTTTTGTATTTTTAGTAGCAAAGGGTTTCGCCATGTTGCCGAGGCTGGTCTTGAACTCCTGACCTCAAGTGATCCACCTGCTTCAGCCTCCCAAAATGCTGGGATTACAGGCATGAGCCACCACGCCCAGCCACTGCTCACTATATGATTGCTGTGCCTCTGGCCATACAGTGGGCCTCACTGTTCACTGGTTTTCTCATCTGTCTTTGCTATAGCATGTAATTTCCTTTAAATAAGCTCCTTAATCTCTGACCCTGAATTTGTTTTATGTGTGAAATTGACCTAATAATTTACTTTCATTGAAGGCAGAAGCCCAGGACCCAGGACAGATGTTTTCTTTCTATTCTATAAGTTCCATATACAATTTGTGTCCTCACGAGAGGGGCTGCCATCAGGTATGCTCATTTTTCCTACCCCCCATTCTCCCACTCATCTCCAGTCCTACTTTTTCCTGCAAAGCTTCCCTGCCTCTTCAACCTTCATACTTTTCTCTGTCATCCAAATAATTCTGTCCTGCTTGGTGCACCCTTACTTTGAAGTCATTTGCTTTGTTCTTTATTTGATGGGTATTATAAACTTTTTCATCAAATAGATATGATCACTGAAGACAGGAAACTTGTAAGATCCCCAACCACAAACTTTTCCTTTAAAAAAATCTACTTTAAAAGCATAACGTATACAAACAAAAGATGTTAGGGAAGTGAAATGATTAAGAGAATAAATAAGAATCTCTATCAAAGGGGTTAAAAATGTTAACTTTTTATTCTGCAAATGTAAAGGATATACAAGAATGTGATCAGGCTGGGTGTGATGGGTCACGCCTGTAATCTCAGCCTTTGGAAGGCCAAGGCGGGCTGATCACTTGAGATCAGGAGCTCGAGACCAGCGTGGGCAAGATAGTGAAACCCTATCTCTACAAAAAAACCACAAAACTTAGCAGGGTGTGATGGTGTACACCTGTCATCCCGACTACTTGGAGGCTAAGGCAAGAGAATCACTTGAGCCCAGGAAGTTGAGGCTGCAGTGAGCCGTGTTCGTGCCACTGCACTCCAGCCTAGGTGACAAAGTGAGACTCTGTCTCAAAAAATTAAAAGAATAATAATAATGTGATCGAAATTCATAAAATTAATAGTTTATTCATAAAATTATTAATGTTTAATATGTTTCTGCAGTTAGAACCAGGGGTTGCTGGGCATGGTGGCTCATGCCTGTAATCCCAGCACTTTGGGAGGCCAAGGTGGGCAGATCACTTGAGGTCAGGAGTTCGAGACCAGCCTGGCCAATAAGGTGAAACTAAAAATACAAAAATTAGCTGGGCATGGTGGTGCATGCCTGTAATCCCAGCTACTTAGGGGGCTGAGGCAGGAGAATTGCTTGAACCCAGGAGGCGGAGGTTGCTGTGAGCCGAGATTGTGCCACTGAACTCCAGCCTGGGTGACAGAGTCAGACTCTATCTCAAACAAAAAAAGAACAAGGGATAGACCTGTGACATTTGAAAGAGGTTGTTGGGGTTAAACAGAAACACTCAAACAGAATTAATCTGTGTATATGTGTGTGTTATCTGCAAGAGAGGGAGAGAGAGAGATTGTGAGGGAGAGAGACACAGATAGGCAGACAGACACAGGAACTCCAATTATCCCACTAGCTATGAGTCCCTCATGATGTAATGGACTGTTTCCCTTAAGTACTACTATGGGTGAGGGAAGGCTAATATCCTAATGTTAAACAGTCCCAGAATAATATGCTTTTATAGACTCATCCCTGCTTTGTAGTTTAGTCACTTCATGGACTCATGATTTTGAAGCCTGAGGACCTTGCAGATGTTCTGGTTCAATCCTGTTTTTGAAAGACAAAGAAATGGACCTCTAGGGAAACTGAATATGGCACAAGCACAGAGTGACTGAGTACAGGAGGGCAAAGCTTCCTGATCTCAGCCACCACGCTGGCTCTCCCCACCGCCAGTCGCAAGAGGTTGGTTCTCATGCAGGGCTGGCTTTGGGTCTCCCCTGTCCATATAATCTCACCTATCCCAGCACTGCTTTACTACTTATCTGGTTCTATGTGAATCTGCTCAAAATGGAGTTTTCAGGAAGGCCTCAAGTCTTTTTTTTGAGACAGAGTCTCGCCCAGGCTGGAGTGCAGTGGTGCAATCTCGGCTCACTGCAACTTCTGCCTTCCGGGTTCAAGCGATTCTCCTGCCTCAGCCTCCCAAGAAGCTGGAATTACAGACGTGCACCACCATGCTTGGCTAGTTTTTGTATTTTTTTTAGTAGAGAAGGGGTTTCACCATGTTGGCCAGGCTGGTCTCAAACTCTTTACCTCAGGTGATCCACCCGCCTCGGCCTCCCAAAGTGCTGGGATTACAGGTGTGAGCCACTGTACCCGGCCTTCAAGTCGTATGAATAGAGTTTGTAACAGATTTTGTCATCAATATATTTTTACTTTCGTCCACTACCTAAATAAACATAATATAAAAACTTCTGCAACCACAAAAGTTATTTACCTTGAGTGTCTCTGTAATCTCCAGCATCTTCTATAAGATTCTTTAAATAATCTAGAAAAGAAGAAAAAAAAGCATTTGAGTACAATAAACCAGTGAGCCCCAAACACATATCTTTCTTTTTAATACTTCCATTAGTCTTGCTGTTTAATATACATGCTAGTCCAACTTGTGCTAACTTGTGAAAAAATAAAGCCCTGAGATCAATTTGGAATCAAGACATAGCATCAGAGCTAGAAAGAATCTTGGAGGAAACACTGGTTATTTTAGACATGAGGAATCAGATTACTGAGCAAAGGATCTCACCCAAGTCACATAACCTCTTGGTGGCAAAGCCAGCATGAGAATTCAGGTCTTCTAATGCCCAGTTCAGCTTTTATTCCAACACATAGGAAAGTACCTTAATCTTGAGATCAGACATACATCTAGTATAAAATTCTAAGGCATTAATCCAATCCCTAAAAGACTCCTGGATTTGTTCATCTAAGAGTCTAACAATGCTCAGGACACCAAGGGAACTCAATATATGTATTTAAACAGGTGGTTTTCAAATGGGGACAAACTTGACCCCCAGGGTACATCTGGCAATGTCTGGAGACAGTTGTGGTTGTCATAACTGGGGAAAAGGGGGTGCTACTGTGGCTAGTGGTTAGAAGTCAGAGATGCAGACTGGACTCGGTGGCTCATGCCTGTAATCCTAGCCCTCTGGGAGGCCGAAGGGGGTAGATCACTTGAAGTCAGGAGTTCAAGACCAGCATGGCCAACATGGGGAAACCCCATCTCTACTACACACACACACACACACACACACACACACACACATGCACGCACACACATGCATGCACACACCCGGCAGAGATGCTGCTAAATATCTTATAATGCAGCCCTGCAACAACAAAAAAAAAATTATCTGACAACAAAAAAAAATATCAATAGGCCTGAAGTTGAGAAACCTTGGTTTGGATGAAGATAGTCTGTAAATAAGCAATGTGGTATATAGTAGTTATTATAATACAGAAAAAAACTGAGGCAATAGAGGAACCTATATTTAATAAATCTTTGACACCAAGGACAGTCATGGAATTTCAAGGCAATACTTCCTTCTCTATTGAGAAATGCTGGATGGTCTCCCATTACCTGTGAAATTAATACAAATTCCTCCCTGGAATTTAAAGTCCCCTGCTACATAGTCCCTATCAATTTTTCTCTCTCTTGCTACTGCCTAAAATGGGCCCTTTGTTCTGATTAAATTTGATTCTGTGCAACCCCTTAAACACTCCCCATGCATCCCCTGGCTTCACACCTTTTGTCCCTAATTGTCCCTTTTTCTCGATCCCTTTCTCTGTCTCGCATATACAAATTCTACTCATATTCTTCAAGGCTCTTCTTAAATCCCACTTCTCTTAAAAAATTTCCATTTGAAAGAAACATTTTCTCCCTTTGAGTAACACATGACACAGCAGTCTCACTTTATGCTTCTATCATTTTCTTTTTCATTAGACTCAAAGCTCCTTGTGAGCAAGTCATCTGATACATCTTTCTCCCTCACACAGCACTTAGCCAGGGGCTTTGCACAAAAGGGACAACAAATGCTTACTGAATAAAAACAATTCACTTACTCATTCAAGACAGAGTCTCACCCTGTCACCCAGGCTGGAGCACAGTGATGCAATCATTGCTTACTACAGCCTCAAATTCCTGGACTCAACCAATCCTCCTGCCTCTGCCTCCCAAATAGCTATGACTACTGGTGTGTGCCTCCATGTTTGCATTTTTTTTTTTTTTTTTTTTTTTCCTCAGAGACAGGGTCTCGCTTTGTTGTCCAAGCTGGTCTTTAACTCCTGGCCTCAAACAATCCCCCGGCCTTAGCCTACCAAACTGCTGGGATTACAGGCGGTGAGCCACTGCACCTGGCCAATAATATTTTACTTTTAAGTTAGGATTGCATTTTAGTTGAGGTAAAAGGCAATAAATGCTAAAACCAATTCTAATGCCAGTGGGAACTGAGAAAATGAAAGGAGGAAAGGGGTGTTCAGAAACTGAATATATCTTTATCAGACCCAACTGCTAGTTAGTACTATTATGGAATAGATATAACTTCACCTCATGGATTTATGAAATCATGCTCAAAGGAACAAAGGAAAACATGGGTATCGGTGCCAGATCTTCAAACGTAACAGATGACACAAGCACATGCCCAACTGCTGAAACTTCGTAAATCTTTGAGACAGTGATCTAAGAGCCTGTGTGAGTCTAGACGTGCACATTATAAATATCCAGCACTGGCAATAAGCCATGGTGAGATGTTATGTATAAACATAGCAAGCTTCCCTGCACCATGGCATAGGTTCTATCTTGCCAGAAACCATCGCTAGCAATTTAGATCTTAATCTGAACAAAGAGAGCATCCGCCCCAAATATAAAGGAAAAATGAAGTAGGCACACAAAAAAATTTAAAAACCCAAATTAACAAAATACATAAGATACACGTTACACTTAGCCTTATCTGGAGATGAAAATAAACTTATTCTCACTCTGACCCCACTCAGAATGCATTCAATATATTACATAAGCTGTGTTTTCTGAGTGCAAACAGTTAACATTTCTGTGGCTGAAAGTTGACAGGGTTGGGGAGACAAACTTACCCTCCCTATTAGATGTTCTCAAATCCTAAGCTACCTCATTAATCAAGTGATTTTCCTTAAGCTGTTAGTTAGCTGAAGAGTGTGGAAAGGAACACAGATTTACCTAAATATCAGACTCATGGCGAGTTCCTATTTTGTCTTAAATTTCTGTTCTTTAATACAGAAGTATACCAATGAAAACAGAGATACTTCTCTAAACCAAAAGGGCTACCCAGAAGATGTCCATATTAGGAAATTCTGACCTCAGAATCACCATGCTGAGCCTGATAAGCTTCTAAGTTGCATTTTCTTTGCTTGTACTCAAACATGAACTTTTATGAACACAGTTTAAATACACTGAGCAGAAAACCCACCATTAATACGTTGCAACATCATGCTATTAATCAAGGAAGTAATGGAGTTAGGTTTACCCTCCTTGCCAATTTTTAAAAATTTTGGTCTCCAAAATTCAACTCTCCAACTTATTCATCCATCCATCCATCCATCCATCCGTCCATCCATCCATATTTTTAGGGCATCTTCTTGCTGTATATCTTTTTGAGGACTTTTACCTTGGCAAAGAGAGCAGGACCAAGATCTCCTTAAACAGTTAAGAATCACCTGGGGCTTTAACTGCAGCATAAGAATGTGACTGATCACCCTGAGTCAGATGGGAGGAACAGTGAAACCAGTAGCTGGCTCCAGTGACTGTTATAACGCAGGTGAAACCCAGGAAAGGAGACCAGACAGACACGCCTATATTGGTCATAGGGAACCATCTAGTACCTATCATTTAGGACCTGGTATGCGGCAGAAGCTTTCCTAATAACAACGAAGAGAGCAGTCATTTCAGTTTGCCATGTTAGACTGGTAGTATTCTATGACCCTTCTGTTCCTGCCAAAACAAATTGAGCATTATTCAAAACTTCACTAATAAAACTGCCTCAAATGCCACTGAGGTTATTTTTATCAAAGGGAAAAAAAGCAAATGTTGGTTCAGTGTGTAGGTACACTACAAAATATACTCTCTGGCCACCAGGTGGCATCACTGATTAATAAAAGTTAATGAACTCCATCACCATCACCCAACATGAGCAGCAAAAAATTAACTGGAACACAACATACTATGTGCAACTTTCAGGGATATGCAAGTTACTTTTTTTATTTTTTTGGAGGAAGGTCTCGCTCTGTTGCATAGGCTGGAGTGTGCAGTGGTGTGATCAATGCTCATTGTAGCTTTGATCTCCCAGGCTCAAGTGGTTGTCCCACACCTCAGCCTCCCAAGTAGCTAGGACAACAGACCTGTACTACCATGTTGGGCTAAGTTTTTGATTTTTTTATAGAGAAGAGGTCTATGTTGCCCAGGTTGGTCTTGAACTCCTGAACTCAAGTGATTCTCTCACTCTGGCCTCCCAAAGTGCTGGGATTATAGGTGTGAGCCATGGTGCCAGTACAAGTTAATTGTTCTCATATAAAATGCCCAAGGTCACCAGGCACGGTGGCTCATGCCTGTAATTCCAGCACTTTGGGAGGCCGAGGTGGGCAGATCACGAGGTCAAGAGTTTGAGACCAGCCCGGCCAACATGGTGAAACCTCCGTCTCTACTAAGAATACAAAAATTAGCCAGGCATGGGGGTGCATGCCTGTAATCCCAGCTACTCGGGAGGCTCAGGTAGGAGACTTGCTTAAACCTGGGAGGCAGAGATTGCAGTGAGCTGAGATCGCGCCACTGCACTCCAGCCTGGGCGACAGGGCAAGACTGTCTCAGGAACACCACCACCAACAAAAAATGCCCAAGGCCGGGCGTAGTGGCTCATGCCTGTAATCCCAGTACTTTGGGAGGCTGAGATGTGCAGATCACTTGAGGTCAGGAGTTTGAGACTAGCCTGGCCAATATGGTGAAACCCCATCTCTACGAAAAATATAAAAATTAGCCAGGTGTGGTAGCGGGCACCTGTAATCCCAGCTACTCAGGAGACTGAGGCAGGAGGATTGCTTGAACCCAGGAGGTGGAGTTTGCTGTGAAACGAGATCATGCCACTACACTCTAGTCTGGATGACAGGGCGAGACTGTCTCAAAAAAAAAAAAAAAAAGAGAGAGAGAGAATGGATGAGGACCCAATATATACTGTATCTTGTTGGAGATCTAAGTTTTCTGTATAAGGGTTCCCAGGGAGCCTTACCACCACTCATTGATTACCTAATCAATAAATAACCAACTTAGAGCAGAAACTAGGCGGAAGTACTGTTAACCATTACTAAAAACTAGTCATCTATGGGAATCTGGGACTTTTTGCATTCAACACCCAGTCAGATTCCTGGACTGTGCACTGAGAAATGTTTGGCAGCAAAGCACAGAGGAAATGAGTGTATAGGAGGGATAACATTCCAAAGTCAAGTGTTTTGAATTTGAGAACATGTCTTGCTTTG